GAGGATTGAAGTTGCATGAATGCATTGCTCGAGCTGCATGCTGTGCTGGTGTGCACTTGCTCAACGAGTACCGCCAATTGTTCCTTCGACTAAGAGCTCCTCCACATCACTGCACGGTCGCTCTCCGTAACAGAGCCATTAATCTGCATGGTTCAACGAGGATGGACTTCCCACCACGTTTGACGCTCCGCCTAGTCTAGGCGGCCTAGATACTTGCGGTGCTAGGAGCTATGTTAAACCCAGTACAACATGAATTAGATCAGCTGCTGCTCTCAGGTCTTGAGGTATTACCATGAAGGCCCTGTGCCGCTTCCACTGAGCAGCAGAGAGGGGGCCGCAAACTCTCTCATTCTCGAATTTGAGGACTTGAGCTCGGAGCTTCACCCTTCTTGCCGTTCACACCGCCAACCAACAATGGCCCCTGTCCCTCAGTCGCCGGGAAGTGGCTATGTCCCAGCGCTGACGCCGAGCGTCACCGGCACGCCGTCGGCCCCGGAAGAGAAGATGAGCGTCGGGGAATACCTGAAGTCTCGTGTCACTACGCTGAAGCCGCCTATGCAGAAAGCGGAGAACCCGTTCAAGGTTCTTGGTCTCCTCAATCGTCTCCAGTGGATGCAGTTTTTGGTTGCGTTCATTGCGTGGTCCTGGGACGCGTTTGACTTCTTCACCGTTTCAATGACGATCGAGGAGCTGGCGGAGGAGTTTGGCAAGAGCAAGACGGATATCACGTGGGGTATCACGCTCGTGCTCATGCTGCGCTCGGTGCGTTATTTGAATGATAACCTCCTCTGTGCGATCCCAGCGGCTTATATTAGCAAATATGTATTTGATGTAGGTCGGCTCGATCACATTCGGTATCGCATCGGATCGTTGGGGACGGTACGAAAACGGCGGGATCCAGTAGCCAAATGCTAGACTAACTGTGTCTTTGTTGTCGTTGTTTCCAGCAAATGGCCTTTCGTGGTCAACAACATTCTCTTTATCGTGCTGGAACTCCTCACGGGTTTCTGTAATACCTATACGCAGTTCCTGTGGGTTCGTGCCTTCTTCGGCATTGCAATGGGCGGTTTATATGGCAACGTTGCCGCGACAGCTCTAGAAGATTGTCCTCCTGCCGCCCGTGGTATCATTTCGGGTATGATGCAACAAGGATACGCTTTCGGTTATCTCCTGGCTGTCGTCTTCGCGCGCGCTCTCGTTGACACTACTAGCCACGGCTGGCGCCCACTGTTCTGGTTCGGTGCATGTCCGCCAGTTTTGATCATCATTGCTCGACTGTACCTTCCGGAAACGAAGGTGTACCAGGAGCGCCAGGCCGTGCGCGAGGCCACGCCAAACATCACCAAGACATTCATCGCGGAGGGCAAGGTCGCGTTCAAGCGCCATTGGATGCTACTGACCTACCTGGTCCTGCTCATGGCTGGATTCAACTTTATGGTAAGCTTACCACCGAGAAATATCATGTTCACTCAGCCTGTCATTGTACTAATCTAACAAATTTACGTTTTGCTTCACCACAGTCCCACGGATCGCAGGATTTGTACCCGACGATGCTTAAGAACCAGTTCGAGTTTTCGGCCGATGAAGTCACTGTAACGCAGGTGGTCGCTAACCTCGGCGCTATCACCGGCGGCACACTGGTTGGATACTACTCGCAGATTTTCGGCCGTCGTCTGAGTATTATCACAATGGCATTCGTCGGCGCAGCGCTGCTGTACCCGTACAGCTACACGGACAACACTAAGGTCATGATCGCTGCCTTCTTCGAGCAGTTCTGCGTACAGGGCGCGTGGGGCGTCGTGCCGATCCACCTCATGGAGCTATCACCTCCGTCGTA